AAATTAATTCTCTCAATCTTTAGCCTTTTTTTCTCTTACATTATACAATATGTGAATGAGCAAACTATTTGTTCCTTAATTAGAGCACTGCTTGCTTACAAGATACAGGTGTTTGATTTTTAGAAATTTAGGGGCGCCTGGGTGGCTTAGTCGGTTAAGCGTCCAACTTTCGCTTAGGTCATGATCTCGCGGTTCGAGCCCCGCGTCAGGCTCTGTGCTGACTGCCAGCTCAGATCCTGGAGCCTGTTTCAGTCTGTGACTCCCTCTCTCTCTGACCCTCCCCTGCTCATGCTGTCTCTCTCTCTCCTAGAAATAAATAAAAACATTAAAAAAAAAAAAGACTATAGTACCACTATTAAAAAAAAAAAAAAAGAAATTTATTCAAGACTAAGCAAACCAGGGAGCAGTAATAAATTCTGACTAAGCAATCCAATTGCCATCATAACACTGCCTGCAGTATCACCTCATAAAAACCACCAGCAGCAGTTTAATCTAAAATTACAGCTGTACGACACTAATTTTTGCAAGCTTCTAAAGACACAAAGAAAGTCTTCTTTATTGAAAGAGATACCATTGTGCTAAACATCTGGAATACTCACCTATTACTTTTGGTAACCTTATAATAGCATCTTTATTTAAAAAAGTAATGTAATAAATTCCCTATTGGATTATATCTTTTATATATTGTAGAGCACAGAGCAGGAACCTTTCAAAGATGATTTACCAAATCTTCATCATCCAGTCTTAAGTTTTTGAGTACTGGTAACAAACAATGAGAACTGGTAACAAATGTTATTGTTACCTGAGTTATTCTTACAGGGAAAATAACTGTTTTAGGATCTTTTAAAACAGCAAAATGCAGATCTCGAAAATTTATGTGATCTGTGCGCTTCTACCATACTTATCACCCATCACTGTCTCATCTCCTCTAACAGTACTCCTTCATTTTCTCCAACCTCCACTCCCCCAAGTTTCTTAACAGCCTAATTCAGTCTTTCCCCAAGGCTCCAGAATGCAACTATCAAGGTCTAATATTAGTCAACATCAGTTATATCAGAAACAGCTTTGTTTTCCTTCTGTCCCTCTGCATATCCATATTAGAAGCTAATAGACTCATAAAGAAAAACAGGAGTTCAACAGTTTAGGAAACATTTATTGAGAACTATCATGTGATAGGAAGTGAGACCCTCCAAGAGTTTATTGGCTAGTGGGCCCTGAACATGTTTTCAATATAATTTGGTAAATGTTATAAGAGTACAAAACAAAACAGTCCAATGAAAAGGCAGAAATGGTTTCCCAAAGAGAATCGTCCTTGAAAAAGAGAGACTAAGGTTAAATGGAAGTTAACCAAGGAAAGGAAAGCAATCCAGAAAAGACGATCATAATAAGCAAAGGCACAACTCAGTATGGTGTTATTTGGGAAATTCTAAGTAATTCACTATTAAATGAGGCAAAGAGAGACGTAGGGAGTAGTGGTAGAATTAAACTGTGGAGCAAATTAGGGAGGCCTAAAAGCCATGCAAAGTGATCAGGAAAATCCACAGCTGAATGACAAGGTGAGATTTGCATTTGAGACAAAAGGATCAACTCTGGTACTAGTGGAGGATGGACATGCAGGAGGCGGGAGTATGAGTTAAAGGGCTGTATCACGAGCAATAATCAAAGTTAGAAATGTCTATAATAAGTCTATTAACAGTAAGAATGAATTAGCGGTGGCAAAGCTACACCAAACTTAGGAGGTAAAGTACATGGGGTAAAGGAAACAGGAAAGAGAAGACAGTCACGAGCTCTCAAGGTTGGGGCTGTTTAGATGTTGATGCTAAAAAACAGAACAAAACAGTGAGACAGCAAAACAGGAAATGGTCTTTTTAACACTTCTGTTCAACATATTATATTGGAAGTTCTATCCAGATCAATTAAGCATGAAAAATAAAAGACATCCACACTGGAAAAGAAAAAGTATCTGTTTACATATAATATGATCTTACATACAGTGAACCCTAAAGATTCCACAAAAAAAAGAGTTAAAAAATAAACTGATTTAATGAACTTAGCAAAATTGCTGGGCGAAAATAATCAACACACAAAAATCAGTTGCATTTCTATACACTAACAGCCTGAAAAGGAAATCAAGAAAACAATTCCATTTAGAAAAGAATCAAAAAGAATACTACAAACGAATTTAACTAAGGTGGCAAAGATTTATACATTCAAAATTATAAAACACTGTTGAAGGAAATTAAAGATGTAAGTAAATGGGAAGGTATCCCATCCCATGTACAATATTAAATTCAAAAGACTTAATATTGTTAAGATGACAGATTAGCCCAAAGCAATCTACAGATTCAATGTAATCCCTGTCAAAATCCTGACGTTTTTTGCAGAAATTGAAAAACCCATTGTAACATTCATATAGAACTCAAGGAACCCCAAACAGCCAAAATAACCCTCAAAAAGAAGTCTGATGACTCCTAATTCCTGATTTCAAAATTCAGTACAAAGCTACAGTAATCAAACTAACTTGGTATTGGCACAAAGACAGACATACAGATCAAATCAAAGGAGCAGAATACAAAGCCCAGAAGTAAATCCTCATGTACATGGTAAATTATTTTGACAAGAATACTGAGATGATTCTTGGTCAGTTTCTTCAACAAAAAGTGCTGGGAAAACTGGATATCCCCACATGAAAGAGAATGAGGTTAGACCACAGCCTTCTTCCATTGACAAACATTAACTCAAAATAGATCAGAGATCTAAATGTTAACTAAAACTATAAAATTCTTAGAAGAAAACATGAAGGAAACTCTTCAGGGCACTGAATTTAATGATTTTTTTTGGATAGGACACCAAAAGCACAGACTTTGATGAATTGGAATTTTTAACCTTTTATGAGCACCTTTATGGGCACTCAGTCCAGAATGCAACTCTTGATCTCATGAGTTCAAGCCCCAACCACATTGGGTCTTACTTAAAAAATAAATAAATAAATAAATAAATAAATCTTTACTACATCAAAGTCATTATCAAGAAAGTGAAAAGGCAATCCACAAAACAAGAAAATATTTGCAAATCACGTATCTGATAAAATATTAATATCTAGAATATATGAAGAATTACTAAAGCCACCAAAAAACTCAATTAAAACAATGGGTGGGGCACCTGGATGGCTCAGTTGGTTAAGCCTCTAGCTTTGGATATGCCCCTCAGGTTCATTTCATGATCATCTCACTGGTTTGGTTCTGTTCAGTTTATGAGATGGAGTTCAAGCCCCGCCTACATCAGGTTCAGTGAGCACTCCTTTTCTCAAAATAAATAAAATTTAAAATACAATATTTAAGGGGTGCCTGGGTGGCTCAATAAGCTAAGCATGTGACTTCAGCTCAAGTCATGGTCTCACAGTTTGTGGGTTCAAGCCCTCTGTTGAGCTCTGTGCAGAACCTGGAGTCTGCTTTGAATTCTGTTGTCTTCCTCTCTCTCTGCCCCTCCCCTGTTCACGCTCCTTTCTCTCACTCAAAAATAAATAAACATTAAAAAAATACTTAAAAATTCTTAAAATTAAACAATGGTAAAGGCTTGAATAGACACATTTCTCTAGACAAGATATAGAAGGCCAACAGGCACATGAAAAAAATGTTCAAGATCACTAATCACTAGAAAGATACAAATCAGGGGCAGGAAGATGGCTCAGTCAGTTGAGCATCTGATGTTGGCTCAGGTCATGATGTCACAGTTGGTGGGTTCAAGCCCTGCACTGGGTTCTGGCACTGACAGCTCAGAGCCTGGAGCCTGCTTCAGATTCTGTGTCTCCCTCTCCATCTGTCCCTCCTCAGCTTGTATGCAATGCTCTTTCTCTCTCAAAAATAAACATTAAAAAAAAAAAAGATGCAAATCAAAACGAGATATCACACTTCATACACATTAGGATGGCTATGTGACTGTTATTAAAAAAAAAAAACAAAAAAACAGAAAACTACAAGTGTTGGTGAAGATATGGCAAAACTCAAACCTTAGTGCATTAACGGTGGGAATGTAAAATGACACAGCCGTTTTTGAATAAAGTACGGAAAGTCCCTCAAAAAGTGAAATACAGAATTATCATATGATCCAGCAATTCCAACTCTAGGTATATATCTGAAAGAACTGAAAGCAGGGACTAAAACAGGTATCTGTACACCCATGTTCTTAACATTTATTCACAATAACCATAAGGTATAAACAATTCAAATGGCTATCATAGATAAATGGGCAAACAAAATGTAGTAGATACATATAATGAAATACTGTTCTGCCTCAAAATGAAATGAAATTCTAATGCACACTACACATGGATGAACCTTTCAAACATTATTCTAAGTTAAAAAAAAAAAAAAAAAAAGCCAAACACAAAGGAACAAAGATTGTATGATTCCACTTACATGAAATACCAGAATAGTCAAATTCATAGAAAGTAGAATAATGGTTACCAGGGACTGGGGGGAGAAGCTAATGAAGAATTTGTATTACTGAATATAAAGTATCAGTTTGGGATGCAGAGAAAGTTATGGAGATGTATAGTGGTGATGGTTACAAAACAATGTGAATGTACTTACTGCCACTGAATTCCACAATTAAAAATGGCAAATTTTATATTATGTGTATTTTACCAAAATAAAAAAGGTTTAAAAATGTTTAAAAAAAAAAAAAAAAGGAAATGAGGGGCACCTGGGTGGCTCAGTCGGTTAAGCATCCGACTTCGGCTCAGGTCGTGATCTCACGATTCATGGGTTCGAGCCCCACATCGGGCTCTGTGCTGACAGCTAGCTCAGAGCCTGGAGCCTGCTTCTGATTCTGTGTTTCCCTTTCTCTGACCCTCCCCTGCTCACACACTCTCTCTCTCTCTCATAAACAAATAAAACATTAAAAAAAATTTAAAAATAAAGGAAATGGTATGCATTTTCTAGGAAGGGATGAAAAGTTGAATTCAGTTTCGGATTTACTGCATATGAGAAGGTACATACACATAGGTGATTCAGAAGAATTAACACATCTGAAGCATGGAAGGTTCTGGTGGAAAATTTGAGCTTATAGTAGTCAAAACTGTAAGAGAAAAGAACACACAGAAGAATGAAAAGTGGAGTAAGGATCAAAGAAAACTCTGGGCTTGTTAACTGAACTCACAAGCATAAGATGAGTACTATTAAAAATTATCCCACCTATCAGTGTCATGAATTATCTGCACCTGGTTCAAAACAGCTTGTCAGCAAAACTACTCAACAGGAAGAAACCTACTGGTGAACCTCAACCCTGCTATATAAACTACTCTTTGAACACAAGACAAAAATCAAAGTATGAAATTCTTCCAGAGCTCAAATAAGAACCTATTTCACAGGATCCTGTTAAGAATATGATAGCTATTCTTGTTACAAAATGAGACAATGCAGCCTATCCTATCCAGCCTACATTTCTAACAAAAAGAAAAAGAACTGTGTACTGTTCCTGAGGGGTAATAAACATGAATCATGATTTACTATATAGAGCTAATTTACACTTTGGGCTATGATATCAATTTAAGATACACTAAAATATTCCATTTATAAATTTATAGTGGCCTTCTGAATTAAGCCTCCAACTGTGGTATGCTGAATGGGCCCCCAAAGGTGCCCACAGCCTAATCCCCAGAATTTGTGACTATGTTACTTTACATGACAAAAAGGACTTTGCCAGTGTGATTAAATTAAGAATTTTGAGATGGGGAGATTAACATGGATTATCTGAGTTTGGCTCTATATAATCACAAGAGTTCTTACAAGAGAGAAGGTGAAGTGATAAAGGACAAAGCATAGTAGTCAAAGAGCGAAATCGAAAACGCTATGCTAGTGGCCCGCAGATGGAAGAGGACCCAGGACCAGGAAGTGTCGGCAGCCTCTCTATAAGCTAGAAAGGATAGGATACGAATTCTCTCCTAGAGCTTCCAGAAGAAATGCAGGCCTGCCAACATCTTGAATTTAATCTCTTATGACCCATTTTGGACTTCTGATTGACAGAACCGTAAGATAATAAAGTTGTGTTGTTTTAAAGCCCCTATACTGTGGTAAATTGTTACAGCAACAACAGAAAACTAGCATACCAGCTGACCCATAGAGAAAGCCGTATCATGAGAAAGCTAAGGGCAGACTGAGAGAAACTGGAGAATAAAAAAAAATTAATCAGTTTACTTGCCCAAAGGAGTCCCAGCTTCCACCATAAGAAAATTAAACACATCCAGAAGAAAAAGTCTTCCTCTCCAGAAGTTCTCAAATTTGGCTGAATATAGGTATCAACTGGAGAGCTTTTAAACAATTCTGGGAACAAGGCCCCATTTCAGGCCTATTGAATCATTAACTCAGGGGCTCCTGCTATTGTTAGAAAGTCAGCCAGGTGGTTTTTATGTACGGCCAGAGTTGAAAACTTGCTGACCTAGATAAAGATTCATTCTTAGTGACCTAAGAAACTCATGGCATTTAGAAATACTACTAGAAGTTCCTGAAACTGTCCCCCAAAAAGATGTGGTTCATCATTCATTCATTCACTGGTTTCATGTATGTTTTGCTAACTTTACCTCTTAACGATACGTCATTCTAGGTAAAAAGCTGCCTAAATTACAAAAATAGAAACTACTGGATTCAAAGGCAGGTAAATTTTGTTGTTCTGACAAATACTGCTAAATTGCTATACCAATTTACCCTTCTACCAATTAAGGATTAACATTTTTTCAAGCCTGTCCACTCTAATAGGTAGGAAAACAATATTTCATTGCTGCTTTAACCTGCAAGGCTTCAATCATGAGTGAAGCTAAGTATATTTTCATTGCTTTCTTGATTATTTTTTGGTCTGTTACTTACAACATAACCATTTCTATTCCTTTTTGTCAAGTGACCAACTGTCCATGAGGGTTAAATATCTTTTTCCCAGTTTGTTTTTGTCTTTTCTCTTTGACTTCTTAAGGCCATAGGTTCTATTTTGTATTTATTTTTTAACATATTTATCTTTTCCTCTTTGGCTTCTTTTGAAACCTAAGCCACACTCTAAATCCATTCTCTAAAATATAAAAACATCCACCATCCACCTATACTTTCTTCTAATATTTTCAGTTTCACTTTTTACCTTTAAGAACTCAGGTTCTGCACTCCTTTCCCTGCCACCGTGTAACTGACAACGTTATTTATTGTTTAGTTTATATCTCTTTTCCACTGATAAAGTTACTATGCTAGCATTTTAACTCATAACAAAAAAAGAAAAAATGTATAAATATGGGTATATACATATGTGCTTATATAATGTGTGTGTACACGAAAATTCTAAAATACAAGCTTAACATACTAATTTCTTATAGTCAACAATGAATGTGCTGCCAAACTCAGGTATACAAAATCTACAAATTCCTTAATAGATTATAGAATATGAAAGTAAGCATCAGGCACACTGTTTCCTCCTTTTCCTTTACAAAAGCAATACAACTGTCACGAAGGTTAACTTTTCCTCAAAAGCTGTGATGAACAGTTTCCCCTAGTAGTTTTTCCCATGTTTGTACTCAGCTTTGCAAAATATTTGTTGCCACTAGGTGGAGACAATTTGGTAACAGGAATATTGGTAACTGAAATAGGAGTAGCCATAAATTTTCTACAAATATTGCCCAATGGTAAACTAGGGCTACCCACTTTAGCTGAGGATTCCGTTTCCTTATTTGTAAATTAAAGAATTTAAATAAAGTATCATCAAGAGCCCTTTTAACTCCTAATATTTTGTAGATCAAAAAGCTTGCTTAAATGTCCTTTAAGTACAATGCCTTGAGTCCTGTCCGCTTAAGCTAAAAAGGTATGCTACCGTTAGCAACTTCTTTCAACTTGAATACATCAATCAATCTTCACCAGTTTCCTCTCATCTTTTCAAAGCAGGTCAAAAGAGGCATACTGTTCACACATCTAGCATTCCAAGTCACAACCAAGGCTCTCTGCACTTTTTTTCCTTGTCAAAATAATAGCTGATATCCTTCTTCTCCACATCCATCTGGCTTGTTTGCACACATATTTTAAACAATGAACTAGCTATATTTTTTTCTAGTAACTAGTAGCCAAGGTACTATACTACACATTTGAGGAATTTTGTTTTTTCTTGTGTTATTTTATTTTTTGCACCTTTTGGTCAAAACCTTCCATTTTTGTTGGTTTCCTGAATTCTTAACTGTCCGTCTGTCAAGATATTCCTCACACTGGCACTTCACTTCCTGGTTCTCATCTGCCAGTCTAGATTTTGCAACTTTTCTAAGGTCTCAACCTCTGCTTGCCTAAGGGAGTTCCAGTCTACTGCTTCATCCAATTACTTGAATCTAGTGACCTACTGCCAAACCCCTGACTCACTAGTAATTTAGACCTCAGACTCTGGCATAATCTAGGCTCTCAGCCCTGTACACACACCAACTCCCTACCACAAACTAACCACATTCTTAGACAGGAACTACTTTTCATTCTCCCAGAACCCTAAGACCAAGAGACACAAAGGACATTGATAATTTCCTGAGCAGAGCAGAAAAAAATCAAGTTCCTAAAGTAGAACAAGGTAGGTTACCAACTTCGTTTACATCCCTCCCCAGATTACATGAAACTAAACAAGGGACCATACTGATATGGTTGGGGTAACCAGCTTACTATTGGGCTGTAGACTGCTGCTCAGCACACATGGTTAGCCTCCCCCAAAACATCTGCAGATTTAATGGCACAGAGATAAGTATCTCTACTTTTGAGTAAGAGATGTCAAACACAACTAAGGCATAAAGCAAAGCTTAAAAATTTACAGAAACTTATCATTAATGACAAAGTCTAGTAACTAATGAGTCTGGACCAAGCCCCATATGCCAGAATAGAAGTTAACTTTTGAAAAGTGGTGTATCAAGGTTATCCTTTCCTGGGAAGAGAAACGTCCATTAAGTGCAGATTCCTGCCAGAAGCAGAAGTGCTAAACACACATACATTAGCTTTAGCAAATAACAGCATAGGAAATCACAGCAAAACTCTTTTGTCCATGAAAATATAGCAACAGGGTCTACATTTGCAGCAAGGGCATATCTGTTGAAAAATTAAATTTGTTGTAAAGCAATTGACAAAAGAAATGATGAGATTAAAAAAAGGTAAGACAGAAAGCTGAAGGCTGATGCTACCACGCTCTCTTTCAACAGCAACTGGAATAACCCATTCAGAAAGCAGTGAGGGCAATTCATTTCCAGAGATACAAAAATCATTTGTGTTGTTTTTGTTTGTTTTTTTAATGTTTATTTAGTTTTGAGAGAGAGAGAGCGAGCGAGCAGGGGAGGGGCAGAGAGAGGGAGACACAGAATCTGAAGCAGGCTCCAGGCTCTGAACTGTCAGCACAAAGCCCGATGCAGGGCTCAAACCCACAGACTGTGAGATCATGACCTAGGCCGAAGTTGGACGCTTAATGGACTGAGCCACCCAGACGGCCCTGTTTGTTTTTTGTTTTGTTTTGTTTTTTGAGAGAGAGCAAGTGCAAGCCGGGGAGGGGCACAGAGAGAGGGAGAGAAAATCCCAACCAGGCTCCAGACTGTCAGTGCAAAGCCCAACACAGGGGTCGATCTCACAACTACGAGATCATGACCTGAGCAGAAATCAAGAGTCAGTTAAGAGTCGGATGCTTAACCAACTGCGCCACCCAAGCACCCTAACATTTGTATTCTTTTACTCAATCCCAGGAAATAATGTTATTATTAATGATAGGTAACGTTTACTAAGTGCTTACCACTTTTTATGAAATCTTGCTTAATCCTAACAACCCTATGAAAAGGTACTATTTTCCTCATCTAAGAAATAAGGAAATTGAGCCAAAATGTAAATAAATAAATAAGCAACTTAAAGGCCTCATAGGAAGTGTCAAAGGCAAGACTCAAACATAGGTTTGATGGACTAAGAAGGCCATACCCTTAACCACCATACCAAACACTACTGTTAATACTATATCATCACCATCAGCAGGGAGGTTTGCAACATGAAGAAATTTCTTCAATCATTAAAAATAACAATTATTAATATGATATGTAATGGCCAGTA